TATTATATGACCCGTAATTGTGCGGGCGAAAAAAAATTTTTTGAGAAAGAAAAGAAAAGGACAAGCAAAACAGTGGAGTATCAGACATACATGTATATATCACATTTCTAGTTCATCTAATCCATCTATGTATGTCTGTGTACTACGAAATAGAATTGTTAATATAGTCTTGTAATATGAGCCTTTTTAAAGTAACTTTAATCTTACAATTATAGGTAATATATAGATATGATTATCCAAAAAATTTTTTTTGTTCTGGTTTCGCTTACTGGAGAACGATTGTGGATGTAACGCTGTGTGCGCTTAGACCCTAAGATGTATCTTCCCTCTCTAGTAACTACTCCCAAAAGAAATACCCATTTTTCAAATGGCCAATCAGCTTATTTTTTTTTTTAAATTCATACCTTTATTGACGTACCATTAGAAATTAAAAAAAAAAACAATACGCATTGCTCAAGCACCAGGCTTAATAGACATCCATCCACTTTGTTGTTGCTCGATCAATCCGTACCACCACACTTGATGGCAGAATCCTGAAGACTTTATCTAATCAAAAAAGTTCCAAGAACTAGGACCTCACACCTTACCAAAGTTTCCGCTTTGCCCGGTCTGCCAACACTTCAAAAGCTTTGTTTCAACAGGGCGACAACAGTTTGGTTAACGAGAAAACAAAATACCTAGTACTTTAGAAGGGAACAAAGTGACTCCGTCTTAATAAACCAAAAAAAATTTTGATGAAGCATATTGTTTTTAAAAGAAAGAACATTCATAAGAACCAAAAACAAAATTAATCATCAACTCCAATCATAGGTTCTATAAACTTCTGCTCATCATCTTTAATCAGTACCCACTGAATTTGCTTTTGCTTGCAACCAATGCTCACTATTGAAACTATGAGGCTAAATCCAGATTACGCACATATACACGCATAGGTAAATTAGATGAGAGTGTCAAATCTCTCCTTCCTTAATTCTGCTTTCGTGCACCAATATATTCAAAGCAATTGATTGATTTTAATGCAAAAGAAAAATAAGCATGTACTTAATGTAATCTGGCTCATAAAACACTGTAAAGATTAGAGTAAGCGGAAGGAACCACTACAACCTGTGTTGCTGTATTCCTTTTTTTTTTTATTTTCTCCTTTTTACATGACGCTATATTTCGTAAAGAAGAAGTTGTTTATTGATCAACATCTATAAAAGAAATATATAAAAAAGAAAATTCTCGAAAATGTTAATATAAGAAACACACACATGGTCGGTTTTTGTCTACGTTGGACACCATATTTTGTGATTTTTTTAAGCTAGGGTTGATTTTTTTTCCCCTCTCTGACTAGCCCAGCTACATTTACAAAACAAAAAATATGGAATAACTAAACCCTATATCACTACGTCGTTACATAACGATCCCACCGTCAGTTGGTATTTTCCTCCTGCCCGTTAGTCTGCATTTGTCGATCCGTTAAGTTATTGTCCTGGCAATAGGAACGACCATAAAGAAGCCGTCGAGAGATATCGGAAGAGTTTTCTTTTCTGTTTTATAGTCGTACTACCATGGAAGTCTTTCGAAGAGGGATATGGTAGATGGGCTAGAAGAGCATGACATTTACTGTTGTGTCGATATTTTCTCCTCGGATCTTGAAACTTTATGGTGGGGTCACGCAAACTTCTCAACAGGCCGTACCATTATCCACAGCTGGTCTCCAAGGTGAAGAGTCGATAGAATAATGTAGGTAAGCGAAGTCGGCAAATTAGATCCGTAACTTCGGGATAAGGCTTGGCTGTGAAGATTAAGATAGTCGGGCTTGAGATTGGGAAGCAATAATAGGGTTTATGTACTCGTTCTGAGTAAATAGAGATTTTCGGATCTTGTTCCTCGGATAGCAGTTACGTAACCAATTGTGGAACTTTCTTGCTAAAATTTTTAAGGGATTATCGCAAGATATATTCTTTTTAAATTATAACGATTATCAATTAGCAATCAATTCAGAAATGACACGAACTTCGAGAATCCGACTGTCTAATTAAAACAAAGCATTGTGATGGCCCTAACGGGTGTTGACACAATGTGATTTCTGCCCAGTAGTCTGAATGTCAAAGTGAAGAAATTCAAGTAAGCGCGGGTATACGGCGGGAGTAACTATGACTCTCTTACGATCTTTCGCAACTTCCTTGTCCCAAAATATATTGCTGTGTTGCAAATTCCAAATTTTACAAGGAAGTCGCTTAAAAAAGCGGACCGGAAAATTAGGGCCTGCGTACATCAAATCCTTTATCTGCCGGCTCATTGTCATAATTCGGTTGTATATGCGCCGGTACGAGAGGGAGGGCTCGGCATCTTTGGATTCAGGGACCGGATACCCGCTATTACGGTGGAGAGAGTGGAGAAACTCATATCGATTGACTCCACCTTCGCCACCATAACGGGGGTGAGCGGTCAATGGATCCAAATAATCCGAAGTATGGTAACACATAGCTCGAAGCAAGCGTACCATCAGCATCATGCGGTGTCACTGAACGTCTCCTTCTCCGGCTGCGGGGGCCTGAGGCAATTAAGCGCGAATCTGCATAGCAACAGGTGGGTTTATCGCCCACCGATGTATTGGAGCGGGGAAGACTATGTGAAGGCAATCCACCTCCGCTTCGATCTCTTGCCTTGCAGAGCAATTCCGAGTAACGCAAGGTGTGCTCGGAGTTGCAGGGGTGAAAATTGCCAAAGGCAAGAATCGAATTGCCATGTACTACAGGCTTGCTTAACAACGCATGCTGAACGCAATGCGCGCCACAATGTAGTGCAAAAAATAAGTCGAGACTACAGCAAGGCGTAATGGCTGAGAGACATCTGTTGAGCGATATATCACTGGCAGGGATGGACTCCTGCTCAAGCCGGATCTCATCCTAACCAAGGGAGACCGCGTCATTGTCTGTGACGTAGGCATCCACTGGGCGGGACAGGAACCCTTGAGTAGGTTCCACAACGAAAAAGTCTGCCGTTACTCGTCGGACGCCTTCTTAGGGAAGTTGACGGAGCTGTACTCAGGCAAGTCAATCTCCATCCTTCCCTGTATAGTGGGCGCTCGAGAGGCATGGTATGCGCGAAACGATGCACTCACAGCCGCAATTGGACTTGGGCCGCACGCAACAGAGAATATCATAACCGGTGTTATAAAGGGGTGAATTATAATCCACTCGACTTTTATGAGATGAGTGTGGGAGCCATATACGACGGCCCAAGACCCCGTCGAAATTAGG